ACTATCGTATCTCTAAATTGCCAGTAACATATACCTGACAGTCTGACATCTTGAATTTGAGGTTCTGAAGTATCGTTTATTTGTTTTGAATGTAACTTGTCAATGAAGTTTTAGATACCTGCAGCTGCGAAAGCAAGATCTTGTCATGCTAACTCTTCAGTTTTATACTTTCATATTGTAAAGAACTTACTTATAAATTCAGTTTCTTTCAAAAAAAAAAAGTGTGTGTATATTGTTCAGCTGTAGATTTTAATATAGTTCTGTGTTTGGTTACTCTCTTTTATAATTGAGGAAAAATGCACTTACTTTTAATTGTTTTACAGATAGTGATAATTGAGCACAAATCCATTATCTGCCCAGGTTATAATGCTGTGCTACACATCCACACCTGTATTGAAGAAGTTGAGATAACAGTAAGTGTCCTTTTAAGTTGTGATGGTAATACAGACAATCCCCATGTTGGGGTGAGGAGTTATGTCATGTTATACAGCTGTAGAGCAACTAAACGCAACAAAGCCTGAGTCTTGAATAGAATCTTTGCTCAGTACTGTAACACAACCAGAAATAGCTGCAACTGTTAGCATAAGCCTTCTGAAGAGTGTGAAAGGTCATGACTGACTCCCTTATGCAGTAAATGTTAGAAGTGGTATTTTTATCTTCTCCAGAAAACCTTGTAGAATTTTAGGGTTCAGGATTAAGATTCAATAAATATTTATTTATAAGTATTTTCTTCCTCAAACCACTTCAGTTTTTTTCACAAAGGAAAAAATAACCCTTATTCTAGTTTTGGGGTTTTTATTTGTTTTATACAGGCCTTAATCTGCTTGGTAGACAAAAAAACAGGAGAAAAAAGTAAGACACGGCCCCGTTTTGTGAAACAAGATCAAGTATGCATTGCCCGTTTAAGGACAGCAGGAACTATCTGCCTTGAGACATTCAAAGATTTCCCTCAGATGGGTCGCTTTACCTTAAGGGATGAGGGTAAGACTGATTGACAGTTACTAGCTGCTGCAGAAATCATTATGTGAAATAGGAAATCATGCATGGCAATGAGGTATTAAAATGCTAGTATGCAGTTGAAATTGCTATCTGGTAACAGTGGAAAAGTAAATCTAAGCAAATAGTTGCCACTGCGCAGAGTTCTTGCTAGTAACAAAGTGTGTTTTATTTTAGAGGAATAATGTACAGAAGTGTGCACTGTGAAACAAAAAAAAATTGCCAGTATTGTTGGTGCATCCTGGAATGTCCACCTGCAATATGAATATCATAGTTTCTCTATTTAAAGTTAGGAAAGATAAGTGAGGGTATATGTTGAGCTTTAACCTGGTAATCTTGTACACTTGTGGGGCACATTTAAAATAAATCGTCTTTAAAAGCAGTACACAGATCTGCTAGAATGATTCTGCCTTGCCTTCCCCTTGGATGAATACAGATCAGGCTTTCCACAATCCACATTTTATTCTTTACTGTGAGAATAGCAGGTTTACTATTTTGAAGACTTTTATTTCCCTTATAAAATACACTGGTGCTTTCAGTCTACAGTACAACTATTTATTCTCTGTATTATTTCTAATACACTCAAGAGCCTATATGTTTGAGGAAAGTTTTCATGTTCTTAGAGACTTTTACATTCTTTTCATAATATATGTAACTCTAATGTTTGTCTCCTTGGTTTAGGTAAGACCATTGCAATTGGAAAAGTTCTGAAACTGGTTCCAGAGAAGGACTAAACATTTTTCTCAATGACCCCGCACAATACTGTGAGGAAAATCGACTCTGCAAAAGCCTACTTCACACCGCCTTCTTATTTTCTGCCCATTGATAAACTTCCCCCCATATTTTGCAAAGACAAATTTCACAGCAAAGGTCCACATTATGTCAGCTTTCTCATATTGAGAGCTCTGCTATGCCACTGTTGAATTTTCCCAAAAAAGAATTTTTTTTTTCTCCCAAATTCTGCTTCCTTGGAAAGATTCGGCAATAGCTTTGTAAGTGATGTGGACATAATTGCCTATAATTATGAAAATCTAAAGGATTTTTAATGTTTAATTTCCCCCAGCATATATATTAAGACCTCTTTTTCCAGGCAGATCATTCAGAGTGTGCGAGTGTGTGTGCACATGTTACAAAGATGACTACCATGTTAATAAACTATTCAATTTGAAATCTTTTTCGGTATTTGAATTGCTTTTGAATAGTGTTTTTTATCTGGATGTAACGCAGTTGCATTAGCTTTTTAACTTCCCAGTAACCTAGATCTTTGGTTACTTGGACTTTTCTAAACTCCTCAGCCTCCCCACACACACAGTTTTAAATGAGGCAATTGGGCACTCAACCAAGTTTGTATTAAAAGGATTAGGTTTGCCCCTTCCCTTTGTTGATGCGTTCTTAAACTTGAAACTATTCATGCAAATGTGGCACCTTCATCAGCTTTACGTTTGTTAATATCTTCAGTAAATTTAGGTTGACTTAACATCATTACTAGACAGTTAAGTCAATTTTGAAGGTTAGAACTATGTACTGTCTTTATAAAAAGTCAGCATTATTAGATTCCTAACTGCAGAAATGCTAACAACCAGTAAATCAGTGAAACTTGCAAAAATAAGAGAGTCTGTGGCAATAGTGCCTATTAGTATTTATAAGAGCTTCATTTTGTGGGAGAACTGGGCCAATTAAAAAGTGCCAGTTATAAATTACTCAGTTCACCCTGGCTTTAATTTAGAGGGCTGAATAATCCTTGTTGTTTTAAAGATCAGTCTGAACTGAGAGGGAGAAAGACTATTTAAATCCCTAAGAGTTTGCACATACTGAAATATGGGAGGGTCAGAATCAAGCACAGTCTGTAAATTTTTGCATATCAAAAAGCAATGTAAGCTTCTGAGGACCAGTGAAGTTTTTCTTGAGAAATTGAAACAAAACTGGTTCAAAATAAAGCTTACTCAGTGCAACTTGAAGGAGCTGCATAATAAAATCCTATTTAGCTGCACTTTGAATGTGGACTGTCTACAATTGCTGTCCTGATTCTAACAATTAGAATGAAGGCTAATGGATCTTTTGGGGTTTGGGTGTTTGGTTTGTTTTTTGTTTTTTTTTTTCCCAGAGTATTAGTAGTAAGTATTTAAAGGTATCTTCAGAGATTCTTCAGGATGTCTCAAACTAAACATTTTCAGTTGTACAATTGTGGCAAGCCCATCTCCTCCCCCAAAATTTTACAGTCTAGTGACTGTCTCTGAATTCACAGATAAAACTGAGCCCGATTTACCTTTTGGGTTTTTTTTTTTTGTTTTGTTTTGTTTGTTTCTTTGTAACTGTGGAACTCCCATTCATTTCACTTACGGCTACATTGTATGGACAGAAGAAGTTATTGTCCTTCAGTTTCATATGACTACACTTGTAGCTACCATAATGCATGAAATTTAAATAAATTTTATTATGTCTGCAAATCTCTGGGCTTTTATTTTTTTGATAAATCAGAGTTTAATTTTCTTTTTTTTCTACCAAGTGAACAAACCCCATAGTTCCTTGGATCTTAAACTAATGAAGAAATTAAATGCCAAGGAAACTCACTGTCTTGTTCATATTCTGGATTGACTTAAGATTTCCACATATCTGAATGCTTCCTTGGAGTAAGCTCATGGATTTGAAAGTTGCAAAGACCATTTCTGGAGAATACTTAGTGTTAGATTCCTAAATTGTTACACCTTTTAAGTTTTTATGGGTTGTTTTTTTTTTTTTTAAGCATTGAGATGCATCTCAAGACTACATGCTACTCTAGTAGAATTTTTCCACTTTTGGGCAAACTTAATGAGGGATTCTAAAGGCTCATTATTGTGAGGCTGGACTGAGTATTTATTATTAAACTGAAAAATTATGTGGTGAATTGAAATACCAGTAGGTAGAAAGTCTGAGCGTTTCCATTACTCATCCCATCTAGTACATTTAATTACCATTTCCATAAATCCAGTTAATCTGACCGTGTCTGTAAAGGGAGGCTACATTATTTTGAGTTCATTAACAGAATCTACAGTATACAACTGAAGATATTGCTAACCTGTAGGAGGTTCTTACTTGGGTCTAAAATATTTGCGTTCTATGACAAATGAAAATATAAGGCATAAATTACACAAATTGGCTACAGTTTGAGTAGAAGAGCTGAAAATACATGATATTTGAATAGTCTTCAGATTACATCTCAACTTTTTCATTTCATCTTCATTCTACATTTTATAGTCCCATTTGTACTGAGTACAGCTAAATCTAGATGAAAGGAAAAAAAAGATAATGTGGCTTTGTTTGAAATAAATACTATTTGCTGATTCACTGATGTAATAAACTTTTTTTTTAAATTACCATTTTGAATACTTCCTTTTGTGAAAATGTGTGGTGTGCTGCTTTGAAGATGAAAAAATAAATAAATAAAGGAGCTGTGGGACCACTACAGCTGAAAGGAAGGGTAGGGGAAGAATAAAAAAGGAAATAGCTGTTGGTTTGAAGCTGCAGGAGCCCTAAGAGCCTATGTAACTGTCCTACCCTGTGATACTGGCAGAGTATTCCTAGGTCCTGGTGTGGACATAACTCAAACCAGCAAAACTGTGTGTGTGTTTCTGCAGGAAGGAGGGATTTGGTATTTTTGTTCTTCCCAGTATAATGGCATTTCTGGCAGTCTGTGTGCAGTGTGGTACTGGTGAGGATCACATCTAATTTCCCTGATTGTTGGCCAAAGTTTGTAGTGTAGATGTGGCTGAAGTGCATAGCCATGATGTAAATTATAAAAACATAAATTAAAATTCTATAAGTTAAGACCTTGTATGTCCTTGAACTGAAAGCCTTGGTATATGTAACAATAATTAAATGTAAAACAAAATAAATCTGAATGTGCAGCAGTACTAATTATTCTGCAACAGGAAAATAATGACTTGTTTGTGCAAGTTACAAGAACTGAAGCACACTAAGTGGAGGAATGGGTACACCAATTGACTAACATTCCATCAACTACCTACCTGAAACTATTCCAGTTCCCTTGGTCATCTTTGCAGACAATAGGGAACCGGAACACAAACATGTCACCGGTTTCCTGAGACACTTCCTCTGGTAGTAATTTGTAAGCTTGAGCAACAACCTATTGATGATGGTGTAATAGTGTTGTAAGAAAAATGGCTGCTGTAAAGAGGTTTATCCACTGGGATATTTGCTGGTCATAAATTTTATGCCTCTCTACGAATATTTATCAGCGGCATAAAAAGCCCAGCGAAAATTGCTCAATGAAGAACCTCTGGTTTAGGCTACATATAGCACCAGTCAGTATATTAAAAACTATGTTAATTACAAGAAATGTGTCTTTGTAAGTGTTTATTACTGAATATTACCTAAGAAAAAAAGATTGTTTCAATGTCCCGACTATTTGATTCTGTGTTACTCTAGCTTTTTGGTTCTTAATGCAGACTGTTCAAATGATGGTGTTAAAGCAGATGAAATGTACTCCAGGCAAGACTGTTTTCTTCCTGAACTGATAGTTAAAGGGTCTTACTCCGTTGTTTTTGTATACCCTATAGAGGATTTGGTAAAAAAAAATATACCAACAAAATTGGAGTTACTATTGGAGATTTTATATTGTAAACCTGTTTCTTTCCTTGTGTTTATTTTAACACACTATAAACATTACAAAACATTTCTTCTGGAGAAGTGCTAGCAAGGAGTCTGGTTTTAATATAAAATTGAAATTTATGCTAACAACCCCCAAATCTGTTGTGTGTATATATAACTTTTAGTAGTGCATATCCTTACCTTGGCTTTCCTTCCACAAAAGTCTAATTTCCAATGTAAATTGGGGTTTTCTACATCTCCCCTCAGACACACACACCTAAAAAGTTCACATACTTCTGAATAAGAGTAATAAGAGATATGCCACAGAAAATATATGGACTCAGTCAGACATCAATATGATCAGACAAAAAGCCATTTATTACAAAGCCTTAACCCCTTAAATACTATTTCTTACATGCACTTACAGTGATTTGGCATATTATGATTGGATACATGTCTTGAAGACCCTTTGCAACTAGCATATAATTGGTTAAGCACAGGTGTGGGAACTTGACCTCGAAAGCTTGCCAACAGTCCACAGTTCTCATTACCTCAGTGAATTCCATCTTCTTCTTATCTTGCTTGCTTAAGCTTCCTTGGGCCTCTCACGGCCTTGTTGTATCTTTCAGGATTTTCAAAGTTTATGTACCAATTATCCATTCTCCTGTGAGAACACTGTCTCCACAGAGATACGACAAACAAACTGTTGAATGAAAAAAAGGTACTTGAGGCTGTGCTCCTGTCATCTGTTAAGCCTGTAGAACTGGTGACAGGCAAAGGATTTTAACAAAACTGCCACTCATGTCATGAAGACAGGTGCCTCTATTCTTCTGTTGAAGTAGTCTTTGAGTGAGTAACTTGCACTGTGAGCACCCATGTCTGTGACAGTTAATTAGATTTTAGCTAGAGGCTTACACTGGGATTGCAGAGGAGCACAGTCTAATGAGAGCTAGTGCTTGAACTCCAAGGAAATTCTCTATTTTGTAAGGGGCTTAGTCCTGGATTAATTTCTGTGTATTCTTTGTGCTAGCTATGTTGAAAGGAGTACACTTGTAGAGACCTGGGATTTTGACATCTGCCATCAAATAACCTGGAGGAACACAAGCCTGGGAGTGGAATCATCTTAAACCTCGAAAGACCTGTTTATAGCAGGAACAATTGCTACTTGTACTTCCATTTTGCTAGGAGAAAGTATAAAAGCAGGGGTATATAGAAACATCCTCTTAAGTAATGAGGTAGAATGGCTTCTAATTATGTAATTTTAAATCTTAGCATTTGAGTAAGTGTGACAAATGTGTTAAGAGAAAATACATTTATAATCAGGAAAGTTAAATTGAGGGCTACAGTAGAATATGTTTAGTGTTCAGCAATAGACATCAGTGATGAAAGTGACAAACCTCATTTCCCTTGTAAGACTATCTATTTGTGCACCTTGGATTAAAAGCACACTCTAGTTCATATTCATTGCATTCTGTATTCAGCTGAAATATTTCTTATCCAGAGATTAACCTACTTACCCAAGACAGCTGTGTATGAGCTGTGTCAAACACCTTTCAAGAGAAAATGATCATACTAAGTCAGTTAAACCACGTCAAGTAAAATTTAGTCATGTCAGACCTTAAATGTTGCAGAAAAATGTACTTGGATGAGACTGATATGTAAAAAAATTGTACTTGAGTCCCAATAATAGTCCCTCTAGTTTTGTCCTATTAATGCTCTGCTGACCCAGTACAGTCAGGCATCAAACATACTGTTCAGTTATCTCTTACAAGACTATTCCGGCTTATTTTCAGAAAGATGTTCCACTCATCTGACTTTTCTGGTTTGTTTTAACATGACACGCTAGTATGCTGATGTTTTATTAAAACATGGCTGCTCTAAAATATGCAAAGCCTGTGCAGAAGTAGGAGCAAGGCTAATACAATTATCAGCTTATAAAACACCACAGCTGGTATCATCTGCACAAGTTCTGCCCGTGCTGAGAAGATTTTAATGAATCTGCCCTGTTTGACTACTCCACATGTTCCTGGCCTGTCGGTAATTTCTCTGATCAATATTTTATATGACTACATGGCAACAAAGGACAGCTTTTCTTTTTCTTTCTAATTTCTTTTGTTCATTTGTATAAATCACAAAATAGAAAATCCAAACTTCCATTTTCAAGGGTACTTTTTTTTCACTCCTTAATATTTTTTTTCACTTTAATATCAATATATGACCATATAGTTCTTTCCTAAATCTGGGGAAGTCTGGAAGCCATCAACTATTCCATTGTTGCTCATGAATACTTCCAGCAGAATGAAAATATAAATCATTACATAAAGCAGCTTGTCAAAAGAGGAGGGTATTTTAATTCCTTTCTCTTTGTACTGGCACATTGAAAGAGCAACTAATTTTGTTTGAAGACATCTAACAAGAAGGACTAAAGCCTTAAGTAGAAAAAGAGCAGGAAAAAAAACAGAGTGAATGACTTAAGACTCCTGACTTCATGTGTATTTGACACCTGGACTTCAGAAGACTGGCTTGGCTAAACAGGGACCTTACAACAGCATTCCAGTGCAAGACATGAGGTAAAATCAGGGATAGGCTGCAAAGAAGGTATCTAGAAATATTACTGAGGCATATAGAGGTTGACTTAGGAGAATAAAAGCTAACCTACAATTGAAATAGGCCAGGATGTCGGGGGCAAACAAGAAGAGCTTCCACTGCTACAGTAGTAGCAAAAGACCAAACAAGCACATGTTGGGATGGATTATGCTGTGATTTGGGGTCTAGCTCAGCTGCGTCCCAGGATGCGGAAAGCTGGATAAAGTCAGAGCCGGACTGTCACCCTCAGCAAGAAACTGGAGAGCTCGGATCCTCCGCACCACGGGGAGGCGCTAGCACACCACTCACGCTCCCAGGGTGGAGCGCAAGGGGGCGGGCTCCCGGCCCCGTACGTGCCCCGGGAGTCTCTGTGTGCGCAGGCGCGGTGGCCGCACGTGGCAGGCATGGCGTACGGGCTGGATCGCGCACAGGTACTGCGGGGAGGTGGGTGGGAGCGTGGTCGACCGTGCTATGCTTGGCTTTAACCCCGGCTGCTGCCGGTGTGGTACCGTTGCAGGTGAAGAAGGCGGTGGAAGCGCTCTTGGCTTTTGCCAGCAGTAAATCCAAGGGAGGCCCGCTGCTCCTCAACGAGAACGAGAACTTCCATCTGCTGGTGACGGTCTGGAAGGTCCCGCGGGTGGCACAGGTTATCCGGATGTAAGGGTTGCGCCCTCGGCCCCGCAGTGACACGGGCTGCTCGTGTCCTTTGGGTTGGAAAAGCGCGCTGTGCTCGTAATGAGCTTCAGGGGGTGATTGGAGTGGGCCTGGTTGTGAGGCCGCTGCTTTACACCCACACCACACACCGCATTCGGGTGAAGGGTGGCTTGGCTGTGCCTGCTTCATGCACGCAGAGAATAGCGCGTCTGTTGGCTGTCACTTGCAAGGTGTGTGCCTTTCAGTCCTGAAGCTCAAGAGAAGGAATCGACAGCTTTTTTTGTCCTAGGCCACGACCAAATCATTAGAAAGGTCCTTTCCTCTTTCTTATGGTGCCCCAATTCGAGTATGAATTACAAGTTTTTTTCCAAACTGTAGCCGTGCCATACTGAGAAAGTTTACACCTGTTTATCTGTCGCTGAAAAAGCATATTTACTACTGGATGTATTCGTGGTGTAAAGAAAGGAGAAAGGATGGTACTCTTCCTCTCCCCAGGACCTGTGTTGTAATTCAGGGCCCCTGGCAGGCCAGGTGGATTCAGTGTGTGTATCTGGCTGGAGCCCTGTATGTGAATGTTCTCCTTTTACAGCTCTAGATGCTTTAAAGAGTGTCTAAGTTCCACCAAGGACATTTAACAAAGACCAGAATCCAGATACACAGCTTCTCTGTAGCGCCTGTTAAGGAGTAATGACCTCGCAGGGTAGACCTAGTTCTGGAAAAAACTTCATTCTCCTCTTAGGCATTCCCTGTCCCTCTCATGTTCTCATTGTAGACCACTGCCCCATGGCATTCGCCCAGAAACAGCTGAGGTTTGCCTGTTCACAAAGGATGAACCAAATTTATCAGCAGAACAGACTGAGAATCTGTACAAGAAACTTTTACTCCAGCATGGGATCAGAAGCGTTAGCCAGGTAAGCAACTGGTAACTTCGCAGTGTAAAAGAATACTTAAATTCTTTGTAACTAGGAAATTATTTTATTGTCTTTAACCCTGATTTAGGTGTTACCATGTGCTGAAGTTCTGATTGGTGATTTGCAGTTACTGTGCAGGAGATCCATATTCAGTTCCTAAAACAAGTTCTGTGTCCTTTCCCTACTGATAGTCTTGAGCATTGTAAAGAAGTGCACCAAGATAGACCATCACTTACAGAAGTCAGTTCTGTGCAGTTCTAAGAAGTGTTCTAGGCTGTGTTTTCAGTTGTGTGGACTAAACTGGAGTAAATTAATTGTGTAACATGTGTTGCAGATCATCTCATACAAAACTCTCAAAAAAGAGTATAAAATGTTTGAAGCAAAGCGTCGCCTCCTGAACAGATTTGATCTTTTTCTGTCTGATGACCGAATTAGAAGGCTCTTGCCCTCACATCTAGGAAAACACTTTTATGAAAGGAAAAAGTAGGTCTTTAAATTCTGTATATCCATTTTGCCTTTTTTTTTTTTTTGAAGGTTAGATTCTTCTTGGTAAAGTTTTGGTAGGGTGGGCTTGGGGAGGAGATTGGTTTGGTTTGGTTTTGGGTTTGTATGTTTGGTTTTAATTTTTATTGGGGGTTTGGTTGTTGTGTTTTCTAAATTACCCCCATCTCTTTTTTAGGGTACCTTTATCTGTTAACCTGAAAGCCAAAAATCTTGCTAAGGAACTACAAAAACACATCCAGGGGACTACACTCCCAGTGACCAACAAAGGGTGCTGTTAGTAAGTATGAGCAGATTAATACTTCCCTTGAAGGATGGTTGTATCTTAACTGTAGAAACTTTAAGTGAATTTCTTTTATTCCATTAAGATGTGAGTAAAAGAGGTTAAGGGTCACTACTCCAGATATGGGCCATTTTGAACCTTAATGTGTATAAAGAAAGTAGCTCCACTTAATGAGCAGTTTTACTGTAAAACTTTACTTTTTGTCTCCTTTTCTTTATGCCTCAGGACTTTCCAAGCACCAGTCACTGACAAACAGCATGTACAATCTTAGAAAAATATTACTGTTAAATTAGATAAAATCTCCTTACAAAATACTCTATTTTTTGTAACACGTTTTTCATTTATTGCACACCTAAAAAGGTCTAAATTGGCAGTAGGAAGGAAAATAATGAGGGAAATGGGGTTGTGCTCTCTACAACTGCCTGAAAGGAGGGTGAAGTGAGAAAGTGGCTGATCTCTTCTTGCAAGTGGCAAGTGATAGGACAAGAGGAAATGGCCTCAAGCTGCACCAGGGGAGGTTTAGATTGGATAAGAACAACTTCTTCACCAAAAAGGTAGCCAGGCATTGGAACAGGCTGCCCAGAGAAGTGATGAAATTGCAGTCCCTGGAAGTGTTCAGGGATTGCGTTGATGAGCCCTTAGTGATATTGTTTAGTGGTGGACTTGGCAAGCCTGGGGTAACACTTGGACTTGATGATCTTGAAGGATCTTAGTTCTTTGATTCTATGAATATGCTTAGTAATATAAGGCACAAGTTGCATGACCAAATACAGAAATGTTAAGACAGGTAAATCTGTTCTAAGTTTTACTACAAAAGACTTCTGCAGTAGCCAGCTATCCTTCATGAAAGTTAATTGCACATAAACAGGTGCTTTTAGTTTCTAGGTATGCCTAAAACCAAGTAACTTAAAGCATGTTTATTTTGTCCACATATAAATATTACTATTAATTTCTTTCAGTACAGCACGTGTAGGTCACACTGGAATGAAAGTGAATGCGATACTAGATAATATCGTTGCAGCAGCTGAGGTGATTGCTAAGAAGTTACCAAAGGTACTGCAGGTTGATTGTATTAAAACCAAGTATGTTTATAATTCAGCCTTATTCTTTCTACATCATGTACTGGTTTTGTTGTTGCAGAACTGGAAAAATGTGAAAATTCTTCACCTCAAAACACTTAAGTCAGTTGCGCTGCCGATTTACACTGCAAATCTCTCCAACTTGGATGAGCTTGACAGCCAGCCGTCTCTCAGGAAAAAGGAAGTAAAGGTAAACAAAAACTTCTTCATACTTCCTGTAAAATCTTAGTGGAACAACCAGTTCTTTGGCTTGCTTCTATGCATTATAGTGTCTAATGTGTTGGGTTTAAAAGTTTTAACAGTTGTTTCCAGGCATTTGTGGCTACAAATGGGTTAGGTGCTCCTGGCTTTATGTGCTTCGAATAATCGGTAATACAATGAATGGTGGAATCTTCCGGACAGATTGGAAGGCAAACTGGAAATAAATAAGTTGAGCATTTCTAGCCCTAAACTTTAGGGATCTGAGATTCAGTCTTGAAACTTCTCCTTGTATTGTTTGTTTATATTTGCCTTCTGAAAATATATTCATTAATATATACATGGATTCAGAATATGCACCATTATTTGTTGGCTAATCAGTGGCATCTGAATAATCCACAAGCTCATACACTTGTATGGATGGGGGGGGCCCTCCCATACTTTAAAAAAGATAGTAAATAATTAGTTATTCCTCTGTACTAAGTTCTGCTTGTTACGTGCTTTTGTGTAAAATGGATTTGGAGCATATATACTCAAAGACTGTAATCTTTACATTATTGTTCACTTACTTCTGAGCTTTTTCTAGTAAACTGCTGGAAGTATTTTACATATGATTGACAAGTCTAAATCTATTCAACCACACTGTTTAAACTAATGTTGCTAGACTGTCTTAACCATATTAAAACAATTATACTTTTAAAAATGTATACTTGGGGATTTGTCTGAGATATACTTCCAATTAATTTTAGAAGAGAATGAGCAAGAAACCAAAGAAGTCAGCTAAAAAACAGAATTCAGGTCAAGTCACTTCAACAACTGAAATTAATGCCGCTGCTGCTGCTCAGGAGCCTGTGGTAAAAGAGAAAGTAGGAGTTGTCCAAGAAGCAGGTGATCATAATGATGAAGAAATTCCTCAACTTGTGCCTATGGAAATAACGAGCTTAGCTGAACTGAAGGTAATTATTTAATAATATCTAGAAACTCCCAGTTCAGTTAAAAGTAAAGGTTTTGAACTGTTTAAATCTTCTATTGCTTCTTGGGGATCAGTGTGTGTTAATATGCTTGAAGTAAACTGGATTTTTTGTGACTATATCATGAAAGCGACTGTTGAGTGTATAAGGGGGTGCTTTGGGAAGGTGGTTAGTTTGCTTTGGGCTTAGGGTTTTTTTAATATATAAGTATTTCTTTTTTTTTTTTTAGTTACCCCCTCTTACAGACAGTAATATGCAACGTAACAATCACATAATACAAATTGAGAGCTGGCAGCTTGTATGAAGTACTCTATGGACTTAACTGTTGCAGGAGATAATGTGGATCGTGTCATTAACATGTCTGCAAAACTCCCAGGCTGATTATACTCAATTTTAACAAATATCTGGAAAAGATACTTGGATTAATAAAACAGTAACATTTAGAAATTCAAATTAGTTGTACTGCATTTGTGATTGGGACATATCCTTGAACTCTAACTATGTGCTACTTCAGGAATACCCCATGAAAATTATGATTATGTGCAAGCCTGCCAAAAAACCTCATACAGGTTCAAGCTGCACTCATGTATGACAGGCCTACATTAGTGCATGTGATGTGATTGCCAGAGTCCTGTTTCCAGAGACCAGTGACAATTACAAATAGAGTTTGACTGTATGAACTGTCCTGGTGACAGCAGCCCTCTTTCATGAGGGCCGTTTGGGAACACATGATGAACTCCAAGGAATACTGGGCATAGTGTCATTCTCTGTGTGTGTACAGCTGAACTTCCAATAGATCTGATCGCTACCCAGTCTATTAAGCCTGGAAATATGTCAAGAGGAGGACTGTGGTTTTAAGCTAGCAGAGGAGAGCGACTTAACTGGTCAGGAGGATCCTTGCATCTGTCAAATCTGTTTACTTACTTTTTTCTTTTTTTTTTCTTATTATTTTTATGACTTAGTTGTGTTTCACCTTCTGCTTCCAGAGTGAAATGTGAACACATTATTTCGGCTAGGGCACTGTTCAGTTAATAAAAAGCATTTGTCTTTTATAATAGATTTCATTAATGCTGCTTCCTGGAAAAAATGTAAAGATGTTTCTTAGGTGGAAGGTTAACTTATGTGTCTTAAATACAGGCAGTGGAACCAAGTCTAGAAAAAGGTGATAGCATGGTCAAGAAAATGAAAACACCCCTTGGTAAGAGAAAGAAACAACCTCCAGCTCTCAAGACTCCAAAACATGAAGCTGCAGAAGAGTGTGCAGACTTGCAGACAAAACAGAAAAAACCCAAGCAGCTCAGCATGCCAAAGGAAGCAGTAAAAGAGATGAAAAAGACTACCAAAAAACCTGAAGCAAAGTCTTTTGCAACATCCAAAGCTGGCAAATCGATCCAGTCAGCCAAGAAGTCTTCAAAAACACCGAAGCAAGCATCAAAGAAAGTGCGCAAGCTACAGACATAATGAGGTGTTGTCTGTTGTAATACATTTTATGTAGTCATTCACTGGCATCATTTAGTAAAAAATATATTGATGAAGTAGAAACCCTTAAGAAAATCTCATGCTAAGAGGGTTTTTTTTTGTTTTTTTTTTTACTGAGACCTGTAATGATTCAGTTATATTTCCTTCTGACTGATGAGCTGGAGTAAATAAACTCAAATTGGCTGTATTTCTTTACCTTTTCATCTTTTCCTGGCCCCAACTAAAAGCATTAAAATTCTTTTAAGTGTCAAAGGGCAGGGAGGGGACTATTCCAGGGGAAAAAAGCTGAGATATTTTGTAATTGATACTTTCCTGAAGCACAGCTTAGTAGTGAAACAGGCAAGGACTGAAGCAAGATGCATGCATACCAAAAGCAGCAATCTGTTCAACATGGGATTTAAAATGTGAAATAGCTGCTACTATTTTTTCTTAAATTGTTCAATATAATGAAAGCAAGTTGATATCTATCAATCTTATTCCAGACATTTAAGTCTGTAGCCTGATAACAAGCCACTTTTAATGTTATTTTTAGCTATTTTTGCCTAGGGTTATTTGTGTGTTGGGTTTTCTGGTTTGGTTTGTTTTAAAGCACAGACAATTTTATCACTGTATGCTTTGACCATTTATACTTTATGACATTAAGCAAAATCTCCTTACCTTCACTTTTGGGCTTTATTTCAGTTGAGGAGATCCCTGGCTGCTGGTCACAATTCTGTTTTCTTCCATCTGAAAACCACCAGAGGCTGTATGAATTCAGGTCTGCCCAGCCGTGTGAACCAGTCCTATAAAGGCATGAAAAAGATACTTTGCCAAACTGAAAGGTGATAGATTTGAAATTTTGCAGAATAATCAAATTGTTGCTCACTGTATAATTCGTATCCTTCTCGGGATGACAATACAAGGCGGTTTTGTGGTAGAGGAGGGAGGCAGAGAAAATAAGCTTACTTTCAAACTCATTTTGTGAGTTTATTACATCTTGTGCCCTAGGGAGAGATGTTTGGTGTACACAATAAGAGTGTCAGTGCTAGAACTATGACTTAAATAGCTCTTTTTCTAAATATTCTTGTTTAAGGTTACTAATAATGATTTCTGTTTAGAATTCCTTGAGTGTTTGCTATTCTGTTGTAATTAGATCTGCCTTCTCACTCTACCAATCTTCAGATTAAGCAAAATAGTCATGGTTATTTCTTCTAGGGTTGTATATGATTATTAGAATTCCTACTACCATCAGGCTGTAATCCTAAAATTAGCTTGACTTCCTGAGAACTATTTTTATTCTAATGGAATAAACTCCTATAAACTAAGCAGCTTTATGAACTTCACTCAAACTTGGACAACTTTCTCTTACACTTGTGAGAGGGAAAAAGTTAGGTTATTTAATGTCATAATGTGAGCCAGAAGTGGAACCAGACGTGTTTTACTGAGGCTAAGTTTAAACTTTAAAAACCAATAGATACCCCAAAATAATCAGGAAGAATGGGAACATAGGCTTTTTGGTACCGCAGTTTTTCTCAAGGTAGAAGTGAAATGAAAGATATTTTACTCTTTAAGTGCTTAGAATGATTTTAACTATTTTAAGAGGATTTTAGCTTGTGTTTTCCAAAGCTTTTATGGAATAATGTCAGTAACACAGGCAGTCACTAATCAAGAAGTGGCTTTACCTAGTCTTGATATTTTTTTTTTTTTTTTAGTGTTCAGTAGGAGCAGTGATAAGTGAACCAAATGCTGTGATAGGAGTTGAGTCTAATAGTAAACCAATAGCACTCACTGGCATTGGAGGAATAGTCTTCCTCAGCAGTATCATTTTCACGCTGTACTTCCACACATACGTGGAAGCTGCATATGCTCTTAGGCCTGTCAGACTTCCCTTTGGCTTAATATTTCTAATTACTGGAACAGTGTGGTTTACCATTGTTAAACAATCTGTTTTAGATATAAGGGCATCATGAGAATATGTGCAAGAGAGCCAGCAGGCAAATGTAGTTCTTGGCCTTGAGGACTTAGGAGTGTTAAGGGATGTACCAGGTCACTAAATGACATGAGTGAACTGAAATATGTATCTTGCCTTTTACATAACTGTTTTACTTGCTGGATTTTTCATCTTGCATTCACTAGTTCCCTGCTTGTCAACCTCAAGCTCTATTCTGACTATTCTTTTTAAGCCAACTTCCTCAAGGACATAGTCTGTATGACTTTGCAGATGCCATTATAACTGTCTTGCAAATCTCCGTTGCCCACTATAATGGCTGCCTACTCTTGCATGGGTGGAGGCCTGCAAGATGTACACTCATCTTGAGACCACCTTTGTGAAGTGCCACCATTCTAGGCTGTCTGAGCAAACTACAGCACGGACCTTACCCCTTCACAAGGTCACACTGCCTCAACTGCAACTGGGTCCAGCTGCGTCTGTGACCCCTGCTTGGAAGGGATACTTCAGCTCCAGGACACTGGCAGTCACTACAGCTGCTCTTCAACAGCTGCTCCTGCTATTCTCTCATGAAGTGGAGCAGCACCTGAGGAAGAGCCAGCTGTGCCAGCCACCTCCCCAGGCAGAGGCAGGAGGAAGGCCTGTCAGAGGGCGCCCAACACCGCTGGTGGGGGAAGGCCAGCTGTAGGAACCGGGTCTCAGCAAACAAGATGCCAGCCACCCCTAGGGCGGCTTAGGACAAGGCGGGCAGCGCCTGCTCGGTGCCGGCAGCCGGGGCTCTCCGCGGGACCGGTGCTGAGGGCGGTGGCGTTCCCGCCTTTCGCCTCAGCGGCCGCCGGAGCATGTCGAGAGGCCCACCGCCAGAGGGCGTGGCCCCGTGCGCAGGTGCAGGAGGGGGCGTGGCCTCAGGACGTCCCCTTAGGTGCGGCCCCGCCCTCCCCTCAGGTGCGGGAGGCCCGAGGCGGCGGCGCCGCTCCCCGCCATGGCGGCCCCCGGCGGGCTCGGCCGCTGCGTGGCCGCCTTCTGGCTGGCGTTGGCCTTCGACGCGCTGGGCCTGGCGGTGCTGCTGGCAGGCGTGTTCGCCGACGTGTTCTTCTCCGACCTGCTGATCTACGCGGGCGGCATCGGCATCTTCCTCAGCCTCATCTGGTGGGTGTTCTGGTACGCGGGCAACCTGGAGGTGCCTCTGGAGGAGCTGCGCGACGACGTGGGGCTGGCGCCGCCCAAGGTCCGCAGTGACAGCCTGCTGCGGCGGCTGGTTCACGGCTTCAGCCTCCGACTCTCCAACACCTTCGCTTCAGCGCCGCGCTCCCGCGCTGCCTCCGCCGCTGGCCTGGAGCTGCAGCGCGCCGGGGACCCGCGAGACCGCCCTGCCGACTCCGGCAGGTGAGAGGTGGGAGGAGGCCGGTCCCTGGCGGGCACCGGGGAAGGGAAGCTGGGGCCAGGCAGGAACGTTAAGCTTGTCTAGACCTTGAGAAAGCTCTTACCTGAGGTTCCATTCAAAACTTGTTCTGTTAAACCACTTGAAAAAGTTGTGGGGAATCTTTCTCCACCCAGGTGAAGATAGAAACAGAGAGAGACGGCCCCAGTTTGATTAGGCAGGACACTTCCTCTGGACGTCTAAGAATGGAAAGGGACGGCTGGAGTAGAGTAAGGGTGAGTGTGGTGGAGTTGGCATGTGGAGACCTCACTGCAAGGTCTGGCAGGATACAAGCATAGAATCCGTGAGGTTCTGAACTGATACTGAAGATCAGTTACTGATGAAGAGTTACTGGTCCTGGCAGCAACTCTAAATGCTACCATAAGTAAGTATAGGCTAATGAAATAGCCTTTAACCATGACCTGCATTGAGCTCTTGTGAGGGGAAGCTCCCTCTTCAGCAACATGGAACATTTCTTTCTTGGAGAATGGCAACAAAAAAAGGTGAAATGCTGACTTCTGTTTACTTAACTTAGAGGCAGAGTTGTAGCTTACAGTTTGAAGCCATAAATGTAATCAGTAGTTGAACTACTTGTCTTGAACCTCAGTCATCTGAAAAAGATGTGCTACTATTCAGTGTGCAAAGACAGTATCTAGGTCTGACTGTGGAGCATGATTTGAAGATCATCAAGCCTTTCAAAGTATCCCTAGTGTATAATAATAATATAATATGGCATAGAATCATAGAATAGTTAGGGTTGGAAAGGACCTTAAGATCATCTAGTTCCAACCCCCCTGCCATGGGCAGGGACACCTCACACTAAACCATTTCACCCAAGGCCTTGTCCAACCTGGTCTTGAACACTGCCAGGGATGGAACATTCACAACCTCCCTGGGCAACCTATTCCAGGGCCTCACCACCCTAAGAGGAAAGAATTTCCTCATATCCAATCTAAACTTCCCCTGTTTAAGTTTTAATGCGTTACTCTTTGTTAGGAAGAAAAACATGCTTAATTCCTTGAAATTGGAGGTTAGGGGTAGGAAGTCGAGCTTTCACTTCACTATGTAAAGAAGTCCTTTTCTGAAGGAATTGTAAAAACAATTTTGCACTAAGTGTCCGAACTATACAAGGATTCTGAACATCCTGCAGTTCTGATTCACTGTGTACAAGGTCAGCTTTCTCTGCTGCTCCTTGAGACTAAATCTTGAAGCTACTGTTGGTTACTGGAAAGTTCATGTGGAAATCATCTTTTTTTCATAACAGCCACAGAATTTTCTTAAGCGGAAGTTTTAGCAGTAGGGAAATAGCATTTAGATGACTATTGCTGAATAGAAAACTTGCAGAAGGCGGAAAAGAACAGCAGCAAGCTTGAAAAGATTTGGTACTGCTATTTGGTTTATTATTAACTATTTCTGCAATTCGAAAACAGGCTGTTGAAAATGAGTCATTCTTCCCTTTTCAGATTTCTTTTTTTTCCTTAAATGGATTTAGAATTGACAGAGGTCCATATTTTCAGGGAAGAAATTACAGCTGAAATGACCATGCCTAATCTTTTTCATCTAAAGGTTATGGCAGCTGTAGGTACTGAGTTCAGTAGGTAATATGCTATCTCTGTAGATGGTCCTACTTTCAAAATGTATACATAGATGTGGTTTTGTTGTAATGAACTTATTTTGTTCAAATAAAATATTTTATTCAAAAACATTATTTTTGAATGTTTCTAGTCTTGTAATTGATTTTAATTAGAAATAATCTATGGTTTATTGTTTCCGATAAAGGCAGATATATAGAGTGCTTTGTTACAAGTTCTTCCAAGTAAACAGCAATTTCTAATGCTACAGTAAATGAACTTTGGTACAGTTGCATTAGTAGCTGTAATTCAGAAGGAACCAAACCAGGAGCGTATTAAAGTTATGTTACACATTATAACAAAACTCTATGATTTTAACTTTCAGCGGTTGCACCTCCAAAGGTAATGCAGGGTTTCCTTTTGAAGTTCAATGAACTTCAAAAGGAAACCCTGCATTACCTTTGGAGGTAATACCTTCTCATAAACAGCCATATGAATCAGTTCATTTCTTACTGATAGACCAAATCCTCTTCCCATCTGGAGGTATTTATGAATTTAACCAAACGGGTTAAACATGTTTGGGCAGATATTATCAAGAGAGAGAAGGGGGAAAAACCACCACCATCACACACACAAAAACCAAAACAAAGCAAACAAATGAAACAAAAAACAGAAAAAAAAAAAACACACCATACTGGCCATTAGAGAAAAAAAAAAAAAAAAAAGTTTCCCAAGTTACTAACTTCAAAGTTCTCTTAACATAAAAAAAGCAACATTGCAAGTGTTTAGAAAATTAACTGTTTCCTAAATAAGGAAGTTTGTTACAGGAACTATTAATGCATTCTTGTCATTTTTATAGTTTTCTGGTTCTTGGCATTAGTAACTTTTTGAAGTTATTAATGGAATACTATATGCTGTTCCCATTTCCTATCTTAGAAATTATATAGATGTAGTAAAAGTGAATGGGAAGGGTGAGAATTCTCAAGATATGGAATGTTTCTATTAAAGGATCCTATTAAAGAAATAATATGTAGATTAGGATCCTTGAGCCTGAAAAGAGATGCAGAGTATAAAAGATTTTGGAGGTCTATACAGTGAGAAGTGGTATGGAAAAGGTACCAAGGCAATGCCTCTCTAAAGACAAAGCAAGCGCCAATGTGTTGTCACATGCTGTGTAACTGAAGGATGGGGTTATTTGACATGGGGCAGTGTGACAGATAAAAACAGAAGAGACACAAAGATAGTATATTTGGCCCAGGAAGACCTGGGGCAGTAGGTGCTGTTGAGATGATATCCTGAAGAGGTATTACTTATATGTTTGACATGGTCCCTCTTGGAGATCAGGTGTTGACTTGATGGGTCTTTTAATTTGGTCTCAATTGGCTGTTAAACATGAGAAGAAATACTTTTAAGACTGACTTCAAATAAGAGTTTAGAGTTATATATGACTACTTGTTCTAAGACTATTTTGGAGTAACCTTGTCTTAATGTATTTTCTTCAGGATCTGTTGAAGATGCGACTATTGAAGTTACTGCCTCTAAAAGTGGAGGAAATGCTGCAAATTATGGAAAGAGATTTCCCTGCTCAATGCAGTAGGATTCTCTCATCATAGAATAATCTCTGCAAACATTGTGGACTCTCTATAAAATGGACAAATAGAGCCATATCTCTGCCAAATGCATGTATTTCAGCATTGGACTGGATATGTTTTGAAATGATGGAAAAGCCCCACAAGCCCCCCTAAATTAGATCTCTTAAGAAGTGAGAACTAAAGAAAGAAACCTGATTCATGGAAAAATCACTGCAGCATGTAATAGAGATTTTATTATTATTTTTAATAACCTGAGAATGTTTGGATAAAAAGCTCTTGCACAATGAAAAGCTCTTGCACTGTTTTACCAAGGTCTGGAAGTAAAACTTACTGTGAATTTTTATGATGCCAGTGCAATACTTTTGTTTGTAAGGGTGCTTCTGAAATATCTATGTTAAACTACTGATGAAAAGTTGCAAATATAGTAAAAGTTGTTTATAGTGTAAATAACAATTTAGAGTGACTCTTGTAAATTTTCATAATTATTTTGGAATAACTTGGAGTTTGAGATTTTTATAAGTAGGCAAGTAAAAGTAACTATGTTGGCACACCAGTACATTCTTCATAGTTACAAGTGATGTAATATGGCTAAGAAAAGGTAGTTTTAGTGCAATAATATTGGGAATTGTTTTCCTAAGTCTAATCATTTGTGAAAGAGGATACCACCAAAAAAATCCCCTGTTGATTAACAGATACTCTGATGCTTTATAAAATACTAATGAATTTACACTTAGATTTAAGTGAAAAATAGCACTTGGGGAAAGATTTATATTAAAGGTAATGATACCTGAAATTCTTGTGTGGAGAAATTCGTCATGAGTTCCTCTGTTTTTGAACTTACATGAGGAGTTTGAGTCCACCATTGGCAAATACGGGTAGGTCTTAAAATTTTAATGTATGATTGGTTTTATGCCACGCCTTGTCAAATACTAGAGGTGGCTTTAAGGAAAATGGTTACTAAGAATACTGTGCTTGTACTTACTTCCTTGTGAACTCTTGCAATGTCTTTCAATGTTCTCTTGTAAATTATTGGAGTAACTGCTTACTTTTCTATGTATATGCTGATTTTTAAATGTTCCAAATGCTCAGTTTTTCAGCAAGGTTAGATGAACACTAAACTTGTAGATCTATAACGTGATTTCTTTTTTACTGACTGCAGTTTTTAGGAGGTGTGTGCAATTGTTTCCTCCTTTTAGAGGAGCTGCAATGTGACACCACTGTGTTGTTACAATGGTCTGAAAAAAGAAGCCAAACCAGCTCCTTCCTTAAAGCCTATAGATCCCTGTTTCCGTGTCATTTGCAAGATTGTTGTTTTTCTGTTTTGAACAGAAAGAACTGCTTTTTCTGATTCCTTATAGTTTCACTTGTAAACTCAATCATGAGATGTAATGGTTAAGTGGGATGATTAGTAGCAGCTATAAATTAAACAGAACATTTGCGTGCATCCATTCATGTACTCAGTCTGGTGAAATTTTTAATCATAATGGCAAGTGAATTGGGCAGGGCTTTGAGTTCACTGTAGATTACAATGTAATTAATCTTTAATCCAATATCAAGACGTTATGATTGTTGCATAAGATAGTAGTTAGAATGGCTTTGGCTGTTGCAATTTCACTCAAAAAAAATACATGGGATTCAAATATTTAAAATTGGAGCATTGTGTGTGTTAAAAATTTAGTATAGAAGTTGACACCTCAGTTCAGGAAGGTGCTAATCATAAGAGAAGTGCTGAAGTGTTACTAGTATGGTGTGTGTAAACAAGGAGATAAAAAATACTTGCTGTGGGACAGTGTAACTTGTGAATTCTGATCTTTTTTTCTTGAAAATGTGAATGGTTACTGTTTCATGCCGTCTGTTTGCCTTCTAAATAAGGAAAGCTAATACTAAATAGAAACTGGCAGCTGAATTATTAGCAGTTAAACATTAACAAATATTTTAAACTATTTTAGTGTCCTGGTATCCTTATCAGTTGTAGCTCAATGCAGCACAAAGTCCATTAAAAGAATTTCTATATTGTTGATTGAAAAGCAGCTCTTCTAGGTGTTTAGGACCGTTTGCTGTCGTGTGAACACAGAGCTTTGCATGTAAAGCTAGAACTCCTTTAGACTTAAAGGACAGTCCTATGCATTCTGTTGAAAAACATCACCAAAATCGCAAAGAGCCAGACTGTGGTTACAGGAGTGCTTTTTGTACCTGGTTAAGCCTTAAAACTAGCTCAAAACAGCATCCTGTACTCCATTAAAGGAAAAAAAGCCAATCCCCTAGCTTGTGACTACATAGAAGGATTAAATGCTTGCTGTCAGACTCTTTAGAGTTCGAGGCCCGCACTCATTGCTCGGCGCTGACCACCGGTACCCGTCGCCTGTCGGCGCGGGGCTGTCCGTGCTGCCGTTCTCCAGCCGTCCGTGGTAAAATTGGAACGGCGCTGTTCGCAATCCCCCACCCTCCCCTCGGTCCTCCCGCACCACCGATGCGCGGCCAGCATAGCGGCGGCTTTTCCAGCCGCTCATCTCTATGGTTTGAAGGGAAGCGTGCTCTCCGCTTCCGGCCGGTCGCGCGCCCTTTCCGCCCGGGAGCGGCATGTGGCAGCACGGGCAGGTGCCACGCGAGGGGCGCGGCGCGCGGAGGCGCCTGCTCCGGTAACAGGGCGAGCGCTGCCGCCACGGTCAAGGTAAGGCAGGGGAGCGGCGGGGCCTCGGGGGGCCGGGACGCAGCTTGGGAAGCGGGGGGAGTCTCCTGCCTGTCCGCGGAGGAGAGGGGGTGTCGGCCGGTGGCCTCCGGGCGGGCCGGGCTCCTGAGGGTGGTCGGGGTGAAGCCCGCGGGTGCTCACGCGGTTTCACCTCTCCTCAGGCGCGGGGCCGTGACCATGCTGGGAGGGGATGAGTTCATCAGCTCGCCGCCCAAGAAGACGGTGCGATTCGGGGGGACGCTGACGGATATCTTGATGAAGTACGAGAAGGTGAGTTGGGCCCGCCACTGCCGCCCGCGTGCGGTGCCGGTGCGGCAGTGCCCGGTGGCATTTCGCTGTGAGGTCTCGTTTCGTCTTGCACAAGACCGTGTCTGAGGGCTTAGGGGGAAAACCTGAGGGCGGGTGAGTGCCGGAGGCTTGTGCCAGGCGGTGCTGTTGTGCGAGTGAAAAGGTTCCCCTGTGAGTCAACTGAGTGGCGTCCTGGGCTGATGTGGAGTTGGCTAACGCCAAAGGGTACAGAGGGATAGCGTCTATGTCTGCAAGGGAACAGCTAAAACCGACCCAGCTGCCTCAGTTGTCTTACAGGGACAGCACTCTGTAACTGCTGCTTCAGCCTTCTCTGATCTTTCTCTCTTACTTGTATTCTTCATGTCACTGTTTGACATGAGGTTGTTCAGAGGTAGTGCAACTTATCTTCTTTTTCTGCAGAAAATACGGGTATTATTTACTTGTTTTTCTTTCCCTTGCTAGGGTGAGACCACGGATTTTGAGTTGTTGAAGCATCAGCTGTCAGATCCAGACATCAAGGTGGGAGTTCTTGAGTAAGATGTTTAGTATAGTCAGTCATTGGGCAGGTTGTTCTGGTGCTTACCCGGATCCTTTGCTTTAAACATTTAGCTGCATTTAACAGCTTTTTGCTTTGTGGAAAGTGTCAGAAAAAAAAAGAAAAAAAAAAAATCTGTTTATACGCATATGTATCTTATAGGATGTTGATAACTGGTGTCTCATGCTTACTGACCCTTTGCTTTAGAGTGATAAACTTTCTGCATTGTGACAGGGTCTTTGTTCAGGTACCATCTTTCTAGTCATTTACACTTATTTCTGCAGATACTTCTGTAGATCAAACCAAAGTTTCTGACTCACACGGCCTGAATTTTTACATTCTCCTGTTCTCACAGAAAGCTTTTTTAATTAGGTAGTGAAATATGTATGCGTTTAGTATTTATACCCAGAAGTACTGTTTCGTGGCTCTTGTGGATAGCTGTAAGTAGCAACTACATTTGCTTTTCCTTTTGGTCTGTGTGTGTCGTCCCCCCTTAATTAAACCACAAAGCTGTGAGAAGAGTACTGTGGAAAGTATAATACGTATGGAGTTTCTTTTCTCTTCAAAGAGGACATTTAGTAAAATAATTAGTATTTAGGAGGCCTTGTGAAGTGTCCAGGCAAAATCAGTGTAAAATTTCTGTGTTGATTTGCTACTGTTTCAGTATCTCTTATTTCAAGACTTGAATGTCCGTCTTGCTTAAACTAGCACAAGAAGAAATGAAAATTAGGACTGGATGCTGTTTCTTACAGTGGTGTTCTATGTGAGTGAGGTTTGCATGGCTTGCTTGGACTGTAACTTCAGTCTTCCAGACAGGCTGTTGGTATAGGAATTCGTATCCATTCTCGCATTCAAGAAATTTCATTGGTGAGGACACCAGTTTTCAGCTTAAAGACATTCCTTGCATGTTCATTTGAAAAAGATTTCTATTTACAGTCTTTGACTTTTATAGATTTTATTTTCTAGTAATAGGTAATACTATGTATTTTTTTTCTCCTGCTTATTTTAAGGATGCCCAGATCATTAACTGGCTGCATGAATTTCGAGCGTCTGTTATATATTTGACCAAAGAGCGTGAACAACTGGTCAACGTTTTGCTGGTAAATATCTGCTTGTTATATGGGAAGATAAAGAGTTTAGTACTCAAAACATCTTTCTTTGACGTCTTGGTCTTTGCTTACTTTCAGAAGCTGCCATGGTTGAGAAGAAGCCGTGAAGTAGTGGAGGAATATCTGGGTTTTCTTGGCAATCTGGTGTCAGCACAAACTGTCCATCTTCGGCCATGCCTCCGGATGATTGTATTGCAGTTTGTCCCCCGTAAGTTGCTTTTCCCTCAGTCTTCTTTCTTTGAGTATCAAAATGCCTTTCCTGGATAAATTCTGTATAAATACAGTGCATGACAACTAATTACTGGGTTGGTTTTCTTATTCTGTTGATTAACTTGAATAGCTGAATTGTGATACGCGGTTTTCTGTATCTAGATGTTAGAGGACATACTCTAGTTGCTCGTGCAGACCCCATTTATGGAGATGTCTTGGAAAGGGATGAACTGTATAATGTTACTGCCAAAGAACAAAAGCTGAAGCGAGGATCATGTCTGATGTTCTTAAGAGCCTTCTGGTTCTGTGAAC